TAGACCCTCAAAGTGGGAGAGACCGGTACCGGCCAGCCGTCTCTCTGGCGTTGTGTAGAAGTATTTGCCCGCCTCGAATAATTTGCCCCTCCGGCTAAAATTGTGTTGTTTCCCGCAGCATCACCTCTGCGATTGGGGATATGTTTATGCGTAGCAAAGCTAACTGCTTGGGGTTGGGGTTAGGGGTGAGGAAGGGTGCACATTACGTCCCCTCCACGCGAACCGACACCGGAACCGGGCCTGGGGGGCAAGCCCGGCCGCTCACAAGCCGCCTCTTCCTGCAGCTCCACGCTGGCTCGGATTGTCTGGGCTCTGGAGCCGGTCAACCTGATTCGAGTGCTGCTGGGAGCCCGCCGGAGGCAGAGCCTCTGCTGGGTCGCAGCCGAGCGGTTCAGCCAGTTTACAATCTGTATTTTCTAAACATCAGACTAGAAAGCTGTTTCTCAGACTCCACTAAACAATAAAATAATTTTAAGTAACACTGCTGTCCTGAGCTCTATAAAATCTGTCATCTGACGTTTTCATTCTGCTGAATAAAAGTTTTAGTTTAGATAATCAAGATATTTTTCTGTCATGCCACCTTGATTATTCCAGTGAGCTTTCAGTTTTGGCTCAGACTCAAAGAGGCAGATTTAGCTGGAGCAGAAGGTTTTGTTGCGCTGCCACTGGGGGGCGGGATGAGACAACTGACGGATGATTTATGATTGGTTTGGAATTTAATGCATAATAAATCTCAGAGATAACCACGGCCAAATCAAACCCAATTTCAAGAATGTACAAAAACTTAAAAGACAGATATTTCAAATTTGGATGGAAACTGAATTCTAATTGTTTTTACATGTTTAATATTATGTACATAAGACCCTAAATTAAATTACATAGTTAGAAGGCTATTGTGGATTTGGGTTTCCAGAGGCTTTAAGATACATTGTAGGCCTATTTAACATGCGACGTGGGATTCTAGTAGGTAGTAAACTTTTAGAAAATAGCTTAATTTGTAATACCATTTAATTTATTCTAATCTTTGGGTTAGGCTATAGTTTTCTATAAAATATACTAGTCATAAGAATTGGGACAGTGTACAATTTTTAACATAAAAGATGCACTGCACCAGAATTAGCTCAAAGCTAATTTATATCCGCAGTCCCCCACAATCAAAACATACAACAGCACAACAACAAACAATAGGCTACAAAGCAAAAAACACACAGCACACACCATACAAAATACAAAGCTACACACACATATACACACATGGGGCGGGAGGCTTATTATATTCTACAGTCATTGTTAGTTCAGTACCGATCAGCTCACGAAAACACAAATCTGCACATTTTACAGAAAACTGCTTCCTTACACTCTGTTCTATCAAGAAAAGTATCGATACTGCAAACAAAAAAATGAAGAGATCACGTGATTTTGTTTTTTGTTTTTAGTTTAAAATGAAAAAAGGAAAAAACCACGTGACTTCCGTTTTTGGTTTCAAACGCAAAAACGAATTGGCTGAATGTCCGCAGACCTGTTGAATATTCAATCCAAAAAGGAATAACGGTAAAACAAATCGGCAAAAACCAAAAATGGGCAGGGTTTGATTGTTTTTTTGTTATTTGATTCTGACACCAAAAACGTTTTTCTTGGGTACTCTTGTTTTTTTGTTTTGAATCAAATAACAGATTTACCGTTTTTGGTTTTTGAATTACGAATGAATTACAAATTATCCGATGATACCCGGACCTGCGAGTGTCATGTTTTGAAAAAGTTTATTATAGATTGTTGCTCATGCCCATGCAGTAGAATAGGTGGGGGCTTTCCAGTGTTACTGGATGGGCGGGGCAGGGAGCTATCTGGTTTCTGCTATTAGGGATTGTGACTGAAAACATGTCATTTGGGCCCAGGGTTTAAAATATTGAAATATTCCAACTTTTTTTTTTTTCATATAAAAACAATATTTTGAAATTCAAACACTATATTGAACAATTATATAAAGTAACTGCTGAATACCTTTACATTTACAGAGATTGGCTTTCGCTGTTTTAATGTATAATGACTTACTATTATTGTTTTTCTGTCAAATGAAAGTTTTTGACATTTGTTCAGATTACTAAAATGATTGTTTAATAAATTTACAGATATTATCTTTAAATATACCTATTAATGTATTTTGATGTACAGTGTTTAATTTTCCATTGTCCAATTCTCTAAAATAACTAATACTGTACATGTGCAGAAATTCCTATTTGATTAAAGGTACATATTTTGTTTATACATTGTGTCATTGTTTTTCTACTTGGGGAAACCACAAACCACTGTCCAACGAACATTTTTAAATCTTGTAATTCTTTAAAATTACAGATTAATATTGTAAATGGGCAGACATTTATTGTTGGTTCAATGCATTTATAACATTTTTATACATCATTTCTCAGTCATTGTACATGAAAGAACTGTATTAAAAACAGGAAATTACATGAAAAATACTAAATACCTTAAAAGGCCTTAAATGTAGCTATTTTTGATGTATTTGTAATGTATTTAGCTTGTTTTTCCACTGTCCAATGGTTGTTTTTTAATATACTAATTATCTAAAATGACAGATTAATACTGTAAATTTGCAGATATTTATCTTAAGTGTTATGAACCTACTTCGTTTTTATACATTATAACTTTGTTATTGTACATGGAAAAATAGTATTTTAACATGAAATTACTGTAGATAGACTTGGCTGTTTCCTAAAATAAATAATGTATACCGTGAAATTACAGAGATTATGTGTATTTTAATTAATTTTGACTGTAACATCTACTCTGTATTTTTATTGTATGTTATTGTATTGTTATTGTATGTAGTTCTGTGATATAGTTATTTACTGTCATTTTACAATATCCGTTTGGAAACTTTGCTGCCAGTGCTGTTTTGTTTTTTTTACAGTGTATGCTGTACATACTGCAAAGCCCATTAGGGCAAACTACTGATTTGTGATATTGGGCTAATTGACTTGACTTGAAAAAAACCCATCTGACATTAAAGCCACAACCGCCATTTATCAGGGTCCAAGCAGATTGCAAACATTTTAAATTCTTGTTTCTTTCTTCTTGTTTCTTCAAAACACTTGCTGTTCTTTAAAGTTATTCATGGTGGGCATCACATATGCTGATGATCTTCAGACATAGGCCTAGATAAATTTATTTTCAAAAACAATAGATGTGGCTTATGATCTTCTGTGAGAACTTGCTTCACATGACTACATCTGTACTGATTTTTTTTTTCGCTCAAGATCTGGAATGCATCACATGTCTCTTATATACACAAATAGTCGCACTCTGTGAAAAATTATCCTGGAAAATGCAAAGATTCAGACCACCTGCGGGATGGCAAAAGCGGGATTCAAACTCGTAACCTTTGAATTAAAAGACAACCACCTGACCAATGAGCAAATCAGCTGATCATTGTAGGTTTTCACAGGAGGAATTATGAATTGAATAAAGTTGTTTTTACTTGAGTTGAATAAACTGGATATTTGAGATTTGTCAAGGGAGATTGGGAATTTTAGTTTGAAAATTAATAAAGTAGCATAGGATATGGCATGTCAACTGTAAAACCACATGAGTTCACAGCAGCTGGGCAGAAACAGAAGATCTACCCAGGAGCAGGTAGTTTCTTGACAACCTTTTCACCCCTGCCCACTGGCTCCTAAGCCAGACAGCCAAACCAGCCTCAGAAACAGAATGCAGAGAGGGAGGTCACCAGACTTACAATATTCACAACAATTTAACTGATGAGGATACAATCTTCAAAAAGTTCATAAACAACCTGTCGCTTCCTGGTGTACTGTCAGAGACTTTAGTGAAAGTGTAGTTTGCCAGCCTAGGGATTCAAACCTTGAACCTCAGTATCCCGAAAAGCAGGTGACTTACACACTGCTCCACCAGAAAGACATGGCATCTCACACAGCTTCTGATAACTTGAGGTAGTAATACCACATGTGCAAAACTTGATTTTTTCTTGTCTTTTTAAGCTTAAAGTGTGTACAACAGTCAAATCGTTGGTAATAAAATTCTGATAATAAAATAAAATAAAATAAAATAAAATAATCACATCATTCTGCTGGTTTCAGGTGCATTGTCAAATATTTTGGTGACGTTTGGTAAGAAAATAGATTAAACTGAAAAAGTTGTACATACAGTACAAAGTACCACAAGATACTGACTATCATTGTGGACTTGCCATCAAATTGATCTGAACACCATTTGAAACATGTGATATCTAGTATCCAAAGAATGTCTGTGTCAATTTTAGCAGCATTTGAATGATGATCTCTGGAGCTGATAATGAGATATAAACTTTTTAACATTTGTGGCACCTTCTAGTTGCAGGATATCCTAAGACTACTAAGCAAAGCTTGTACAGAGCATCCACACATGTGCACCAAGTTTAGTTTCAATTGCTTCAGCCAGTTTGATTTATGAGTATTAACGTGCAATTGAACTTTAAGATAAATGGTTGAAAATGGCTAACTTGAAAATGGATTGACATTTAAAATGTCCTTGATAATGTTAGATCAGCAATGTCTGTAAATGATCCTGCTTGAGTTTCAGGACGATTGGACCACTGGTCTGGAACAAATTCAAAATTGAGAAAAGGTCACAAAATTTGACATTTTTAGAGCAGAAGACCATTGGAGCAGAGACAATTGCCAGATAATTGCGAGAATGTAAACTTGATTGTTACAGCACCTATTGACCTTGAGGTCAGTAAGTATCATTTTTGGTCCTAAGTAGTGGGTGGAATTTGCAACCCACTTGCCAATTTTGGTGAGTTTTCATCATACAGTTTTTGCTGTACAAACACTTACAGCAAAGAAGAAGAAGAAGAACAAGAACAAGAAGAAGAAGAAGGAGAAGGAAGGAAGGAATAATGACAACAAAAACAATATATCAGGTGCGGAGAAGGTCACGCAGACAAATAAATTAAAAAAGTAATTTTTTCTCTGGAAACTCACCAGCACCCATAATGAGACCTGGAGCAGAGTCTTTGGTATGGACAGTCCCAGACACATAAGGGTTGTCCGCCCAGCGCAGGTGGAGGTGGAGATGACAGTCCGGCTGCAGAACGCAAATATGCAGAGAGAATTTAATGTGAGGATAAAAATGTCATTCTACCACAGTGCATACATTTCTTCTACCATCAAACAAACTGTCTCGCAGTGGACTCATGACAGTGAATTTTAACACAAGAAAATAGTATCACTAAAGTGAAATAATGGGTGAACTGTAGACACTCACTCACTCAGTCATGTTTATTGTCTTGCCACACGGATACTCCTGCTAATCCTGCTGCAAATACAGCTCAGTATTGAGATTGAGGGCTCTTATTCATGTAGCCCTGGCTAGAATTCATCTAGACACCAGGATATAAATATTCAAATAAAAACACAAGAAGTTTGTGCTCTAAAGAAAGGATCAGCACTCAGTGAAAAACCTCCTAAGCTCTATGATAAGCTATTATGGCAAGGCTTAACTATACAGACCAGTGAGCAGTGATAACTAACAAGTCTTAGGGGTCATCAGGTGGAAACCTCCTTTCACCAGTGTTTCGTCTAGTTGGTCCCACGACACCTCCAGAAGGCTAGACAGTGATCTCTGGCGTCCCAGAGACACTCCCCTAATGCCAGGTCTCACTGCTCCCCGCACCAACCCAATAACCTCCTTTACCTTACTTACGCATGGCTTTTTCAGCCCAAACAGCACTGCCACCTTCAACCAAACCCAGGCTCCATACATGCGAGCTCCAGGTAGAAACAGTGCTGATACTACCTTTCCTAGCACATTCACCATACTCTATTTCACACGCTACATAGCATAACTCCAATATAAACTAAAGTTAAAGGAGATAGATAAACTGACAGGATCAGCAAACACACTCACCTTGCAGCATGGTCTCAAACAAAAGGGATTCAAATAGGCCACTCCCACACTTAAATAACCTTCCTCTTCCTGGATTTCCTCCTGAGAGGAAATGGATCTCTCCACCTGATCTCAAGGAGTTATGTACTCTGCATAGTAGTTCCCCCTGCTGGCCCCCAACTGACATTATTTCTTCTCACCCATATCCATTGGCTTGCTCTACCTGCTTCATCTGACATTTCCTTCACTGTCTTCCTCACACTCTGTCCCTGCACTCGGAGTTCCCCCAGGAGAGAGACAGCTGATCTTGCTATGAATCCCCTACACCCCACTTCCACTGGACAAATCCTAGTTTTCCATCCTCGCTGCTCAGCTTCTGCTCCTAAGTCTGCATATCTAAGCTTTTTTCTTTCATAGGCGTCTTCCACTGAGTCTTCCCAAGGAACTGTCAGCTCAATGAAATAAACTATCCGTTGACTCACTGACCACAACACTATGTCAGGCCTCTGCTTGGTACAAACTATTTCCTGGGGAACAACAAGCTTTCCCCCTAAATCTACTTGCATTTCCCAATCACAAGCACCTTCTAGGCGGCCACACCCTTGCCTCCTTACTACCTTATCCCTTCTATATTTCTCCCCCTCACGGACAAACTGAATTGCTAAACTCCTATCCTTAACACCCTCTGAATTCACCTGTCTTCGTTTCCCTTTGATGCCTGCAGCTAAACATTTCAACACCTGGTTATGTCACCATGTATATCGGCCTTGTGACAAGCTAACTTTACAGCCTGACAAAATATGCCTTAAGGTTGCAGTACCTGAACACAATGGGCATGATGGGTCCTCATTTACCCACAGTTTTAGGTTCTGGGGGGTTGGTAACACATCCTATGTAGCCCCTATCAGGAATCTAATACGATTCTCCTCCATACTCCACAGGTACCTCCAACTAAGCTTCCTCCTCTCTACACTTTCCCAATTCAACCACTGTCCCTGTTTAGCCTGGGCCACTACCGTTGCACCCCTTAATATCTCCTGTCTACGTATCTGTTCCATGACCAGCTTTCTTTTATCTATGAGACCTGCTTTATTCCATACCGGTTTGCCTGAGCCAAGCCCCAGGCCTCCCCAGCCAAACTGAACATTACCTACAATCTCTGCATGCCTAAGAGCTGTCTCTGCCTCCTGTACTGCCAATCTTGGGTTCCACTTCCTCCCCTCGGTTGGATTTGGAACCACACTCCTAACTACCACGTCCTTACTCCCAGATAACAAAAGATCTGTCCTGACCTTGGTACATTTAAATACCTCTGTTAAACTAGATACTGGCAGCTGAAGTATCCCTTTTCCATACAATGCAACACTACTTAGGCACCTAGGAGCGCCCAACCACTTCCTAAT